TTTTGCAGTATACAAGATTCGCGGAGTACGCCATGCGTGCTGACACACTGCCATTCAGCCTGTTTCAAATACATGTGATTTCTTTGCGCTATTTTTTTCCGAGTTTTATCTCAGTTGATTTTTTTGCAGTTTTCTGGTACATTATCAATGTAATATTTCCGAATCCGGAAAATTTCGCAGTTGAACCAGGCGTATCGTCTCAGTACACTGGACTGTCACGTGAGTTAGCTATAAGCAGTTATTAACAACTGCTCCTTTCCTCTCTTCCCGGTTTCCTCACTTCTGCTCCTCGTTTCCTCCTCTAATGCTGATGTTACCGTTACTTTTAGGGGTTTCCTGCCTAAGTTACCCCTCGTTGTCTTACCCTGACTGAAAATTTTCGTTTTCATTTTTATTGATTTTTATTTGTTTTTTGCTGTGTAGCAGCAGTACAAAACGCATACTGTCACGGCGCTGTCCGTGTGTGTATGTCCGCATCAACTTGTCCGCAGCTTTCAACCCGGGAACCACAATGGCTGGGAAGCTGAAAATTTAGAGGAATGTTCCCCACCCACGTGTGACTCTGCAATTTTAAACCCAGCCTCCCCGTACCCGCGGGTAACACATACGGCGCCGTAAAAGTTTTGATGGGGAAAAATTATTATCTCGGGAAAAACGGGAACTAGGATGCTGAAATTTTACGGGTATGTCCGTTGCCCACATGGGATCCAGAAAATTTAACTTCAGCTTTCCCGTGTCCGCGGGTGATGTATACGGCTCCGTGAAACTTTTGGCAAGGAATTATTATCTCGGGGGGCCACGTAATTCAGGAAGCTAAAATTTTTATGGGTACGTTCTTTGCCCATGTAACTCCTCAAATTTAAATTCAGAGCAGTGGAAATCATTAGCAGGCTGTCGTTTGATGGACGGTATAGCACCAAATGCTGGTCCCACCGGCTGCCCTAGTGTGCACCGCTGTTTTTTCGTTTGCACATAGATTCACTGTGAATATTTTCGCGAGCCGCACTATTTTTTTTCTTTTGATCCATATTTCTCGAAATTTTTGATGAAATTTAGTTAATGTTGGATATGTCTGAACGTTTTATTAGGGTGTGGCGTTCGCTCGGCCGTTTTTGCAGTAGTAATATCTATCTTCTGAAGCTTCTCCGCCAATAATCATACGCTGAGCAAACAAAAATTGCCTGCTCCCCAGCCGCCCTCCTCTTGCGCATTTCTGTTTAAATAAAAATGCTCGCATTTTTAGATGTGTCGCAACAGCGACGAGTGAGAAGCGGTGAGGATTACCCGTGGCATGGTGCAGCTGGCGGCAAACAATTCATGGTTCGTCCGTTTATTCTCGCACGGTTACACTCTCATTTTATACACTCATTCTGGCTGAGCTGGCCCTCTTTTCATTGTTATTGTGACCAAATCCGGTGGTC